CCCCCCCCCCAGTGTGCTAGTCACTACCAATGTTGACACGACTCCCTTTCTGTGGAGGGGGGCCACTTTTGAGCAGCTGCAGATGAGCTCCCAGGATCGGAAGTCAGCATCCCTGGGGATCCCTCAGGCAGGTGCTGGCATTTCAAAACAAGCACAGATGGGCAGAGCATACCCGTGCGTGCCAGCTTTGGCTTGTTTCGTCCCTGCCGCCTGCCACTGAGTCTTAGCGAAGCAGCCTTTGACCCATGGGATCGCCCCTCCTGCCCGAGAATAGGTGTGACCTAAGGAAGTTCCTGAAACACTGCCTCGGTTTCCTAATGTGGGAAATAGGGATAAAACAACACACACCTCCTAGTGTTGCCGTAGGAGTCCCTGGGGTGGGGGCCACAGTTGAGCAGTAGATGACTAAATGAAAGGCTGGTGTGCAGACCCACCCAGAGATGGATCAGAAGGAAGGCCTGCAACCTGCTTCCTAAAGACCCCAGCCATTGAAAACCCTGAGTCGGAATGGACAGCAGCAAAGGACTATAGGACCGTTGTGAGCAGTTAGCAGGCTAATAGAGGAGCCGTGCTGTGAGCCGTGCTGGTTGCTCACAGCGGGGCAGCTCTGAACAAACATTTGCTATTGTTAGGCACCGTCAGGTTGGTTTCCAGCTCACAGCAACCCTACAGGACAGAGTCGAACTGCCCCAAAGGGCCTATGGGAACAGATCGCCCGGCCTTTCTCTCTCGGCCCCAGAGAGGTGCCAATCCCTGACCCAGGCTCCCTCCTTGACCGTGACATGACCAGTCCAGGATTCCTTGCCCCCAACTCCAACATCCAGAGTGCTCTCAAAATCAAAAGACTTGTTGGAAGCTTGGTATTCAAAGTCAGCTTGGCAAAGCCGGAGTTTAAGTGCCACCAACAACTGTATTTCATTTTATTGAATTGTCCTGCTGACAGTGACTGTTAGGCTGTGGACATCTTAAGGTGACTGGACTTGGCGTGTCCCCGCAGGGGCTGTGGGTGGTAGGTGATCCAGGGTCCGTGCACCAATCCTGGAACCTGAAGCCGTCTGGGTGCTGAAGGACATCTGGGGACATCTGGCCTCGGGGATTTCAGCCACTGGAGGGGGGGGGGGGTGTCTTGTTATGATTCTGGCTATTGTGACACCGTGACTCTGGGGAGGAGGGCAGTGAGTTTGTAACAGTGTGCCTGCCTCCACCTGCAGAGCCCCCGGTTCGGATCCTGTCCCCCCGGGATGAGGTGACCTTGATCGCCGTGACCTTGGAGTGCGTGGTGCTGCTGTGTGAGCTGTCTCGGGCAGACGCCCCCGTGCGCTGGTACAAGGATGGGCTGGAGGTGGAGGAGAGCGAGGCCCTGGTCCTGGAGAGCGATGGGCCCCGCCGCCGCCTGGTGCTGCCTGCTGCCCAGCCTGGGGACGGGGGTGAATTCGTGTGTGACGCTGGAGATGACTCTGCCTTCTTCACGGTCACTGTCACAGGTGGGCAGGCTCGGGGTGTCCTTGGGAGATCGAAAGGCAAGGGACTTCAGCCCTCCCCCACTTACCACAACCACCCTTCCAGCCTGTCACCCCTCACAGCCTCCCCCATCTCAGCCACCTTTCCCCCAAAGCAGGAGGGGACAGTGATCAAACAGCCCAGCCCAGTGGGGGCATCCTGCGTGCCTTCATTCCCTCAGTCAGCAGCTATGAACCGCACAACTCCTTTGTGCTAGGCGCCGTTCTTCAGTTGGTGGGCTTGGGTGTCAGCCACCCCGGGGGACAAGAGGAGAATGCCCCATGGGCTTGCCTAGGCTGGGACCTTGACACAACAGATAGATGGCCCGGCCTCTCCCCTGGGGGCTTCTGGGTGCATTTGAACCATCCACCTTCTGGTTGTAGCCTGCTTAAGCGTTACGTCATTTTGAAAGTGGAGTCGAGGGTCAGGGAGCGAGCAGCAGGAGTCACAGGAAAAGGGCTGCTGGGCCCAGCCCAGCTCCTGGCTCTCCATCTTTGTGCCTAGGGCGTCTCAAGGCTGGGGGAGGGAGGCGGAAGGGCCCTGCTGGTCAGCTCACCGACCCTCTGCCCCACCAGCGCCCCCAGAGAGGATTGTGCACCCGGCAGCCCGCACCTTGGAGCTGCAGTTTCTGGCTCCTGGGCGCGTGGAGCTGCGCTGCAAGGTGTCCCCAGCCGGGTCGCAGGTTCGCTGGTACAAGGATGGGCTGGAGGTGGAGGCGTCTGGCACCCTGCAGCTGGGTGCTGAGGGGCCCGCCCGCACCTTGACCCTGCCCCACGCCCAGCCCGAGGATGCTGGCGAGTACGTGTGTGAGACCCGAGATGACGCTGTCACCTTCAACGTCAGCCTGGCCGGTAGGTGCTCCCGGCCAGCCGAGGTGGGAGAGGTGAAGGCCAGCCAGGGCTGACACCCTCCTGTCTCCACCCAGAGCCCCCCGTGCAGTTCCTGGCCCCAGAGACGGCCCCCAGTCCACTCTGTGTGGCCCCGGGAGAGCCGGTGGTGCTGAGCTGTGAGCTCTCGAGAGCCAGTGCCCCTGTGCTCTGGCACCACGATGGGAACCTGCTACAGGAGGATGCGGGCCTGCAGCTGCGGGCAGAGGGGCCCCGCCGCCTACTGTGCATCCAGGCTGCAGCCCCTGCCCATGCCGGCCTCTACACCTGCCAGTGTGGGATGGCTCCAGGGGCCCCTAGCCTCAACTTCATGGTCCAGGTGGCTGGTGAGTTTGAGAGCAGCCGCCCCGGACCCCATCTTGTCTAGCATGTGCCGCCCACCCCTTCCCTACCTTTCTCAGCATGTACCCGCCCCCTCCCTTCCCTCCACGCAGCCTGAGACCCTCCCTGCCCAGTGACCCCCAGCTCTGACCCCACAGAGCCCCCTGTGCGGGTGGTGGCTCCCGAGGCAGCCCAGACGAGGGTCCGAAGCACCCCAGGCAGGACCCTAGAGCTGGTGGTGCACCTCTCCGGGCCAGGGGGCCCCGTGCGCTGGTACAAGGACGGGGAGCGCCTGGAGAGCCAGGGCCGGGTACAGCTGGAGCAGGCCGGGGCCAGGCAGGTACTGCGGGTGCAGGGGGCACAGAGCGGGGACTCGGGCGAGTACCTATGTGATGCGCCCCAGGACAGCCGTATCTTCCTCGTCAGGATAGAAGGTAACAGAGCACCCCATACCCTTTGGGCCCTGACCCCCTCAAGAAGCATGTCCTCTCCCTCGATGCTCCCACCACCGCCTTCTTGCCTCTGGCTCCCCCCACACCCCCACCCCCACCCCGCCCCCACCACATGTGTTTGAGTTTGACTTTGGGGAGGCTCACCTCCCTCTCTAGAGACCTTACTAGAAGGAGAGCTAGCCCAGTGGTTAAAAGTCAGGACCAGCTCAGGGCTCTACTCGGTGACCTCTCCAGGGACTAACAGAGGGACATACCCAGTACTAACCCAGGATCTACCCAGAGACCTACCTAGGGACCAGGCCTGGAATCTACCTGGGGATCTACTCAGGGACCAGCCCAGGGACCTGTGCAGGGACTTAACTTAGGCATCTACCTAAGGAATCTACCCATGAGTCAATCTAGGGCCTAGCCCAAGGACCCAGGAACCTGATGTCAACCTTCCCAGCTTTGAATTCTCTTCAGATCTGGATTTGGCTACCCGTTGTTCAGCGACATGGACCAAGTTCCTTTACCTCTCTGATCCCAGCTCAGAAATATTGAGGGAAGTGGGGGCACAGGGCATATCTCACAAGGCTGCTGTCATAGCTCAGTGCTATAAATGGGGTTCCTGGTAAATGGTGTGGTATGAGGGAGTCAGAGAGGGCTGCTAGACCTGGGCTGAGAGGAGTTGGCTAAGACGTGGTAGGGAATTGGCATCTTGACCTCAGGGGACACCCTCAGGGCTGATGCACAGTAAGTCCGCAAGACACATGTGTTAAGAGGGCAGGAACCCCCAAGGAAGGGATGCAGAGGGAGGAGGGGAAGAGCCAAGTGACTCACTGCCTGACTCGCTCCCCAGAATCTCCACCTGTGAAGCTGGTCTCGGAGCTGACACCATTAACCGTCCACGAGGGTGATGACGCCACGTTCCGCTGTGAAGTGTCCCCACCAGACACCCACGTCACCTGGCTGCGCAACGGGGCCATTGTCACTGCAGGGCCCCAGCTGGAGATCGCTCAGAACGCTTCCAGCCACACACTGACCATACGAGGCTGCGGGCTCCAGGATGCGGGAACTGTGACTGCCCAGGCAGGGGGAGTGACCACCAGTGCCCGACTTCACGTTCGAGGTTTGATCCCGAGGGGGACACTGTAGCTGCACCCCCACCCGCGGACTTGCGGCTCTGGCCCTGGCCTTTCTGCCTGGGACAGGGTACCAGGCTCCATGGTCTCGCCCTCCTGTCCCCAGAGGCTGAGCTGCTCTTTCTGCGGAGGCTGCAGGACCTGCGGGTGGAGGAAGGCCAAGACGTGTGCCTCGAGGTGGAGACTGGCCGAGTGGGTGCGGCCGGGGCAGTGCGTTGGGTGCGTGGCGGGGAGCCCCTGCCCCATGACATGCGGCTCTCCATGGCCCAGGACGGCCACACCCACCGCCTCTTCATCCACGGCGTCGCGCTGGCCGACCAGGGCACCTACGGCTGCGAGAGCCGCCATGACCGCACTCTGGCCAGGCTCAGCGTGAGGCGTGAGTGCCCTGCCCTCTCCTAACGCCTGGCTAGCCCCTCAGACGCCCACCAAAGTGCCCCTCGGTGCCGAGGAAAATCATCCCTGGCTGTCCCAGTCCAACCTGAGGCCCAACGCTGCCCACCTGCCCCAAGCAAAACCTGTCTTTTTCTAACATTTTCTACTTTGCCTTCGAAGGCCACGTGGCTTATGCATTCCCTTTCTAAGGTGGCTTTGCTATAAACATCACTATTCTACTCCCGAGGGCTCCGTGTGTGGATCCTCTGCCTTCAAAGGTCCATGTGCCTGTTTGCGTGGCAGCAGAATAGCGCCCCTGCCCCCAAGTTGAAGACACCTCCCCCAAATTAGCTGTGTGACCTCATGCAAGTTACTTAACCTATCTGAACCAAATGTGTCCCCCTGAAACAAGGGCTGACCTCTCTGTTTAGGAACATCCGCTGAGGTCACGTATGAAAACGCTCACACAGAGCCTGGGAAATGGTGGCTGGCGGCAGTGACATGATGAGCTATGGTAACATAGTTCATCTCAGCTCATTTATGTCACGCATTGAATCCTCACTATAAACCCATGTCTCAAACTCTAAACCCCTTAGCTATACACGTGGGGAAACTAAGGCCCAGAGAAGTCAAGCAGATTGCCAACGGTTACACAGCAGACAGAAAAGGAGGCAGAATGAAGGGCCGGCCAGCCCAGCCTGATTCTAAATCCTCCTCCTCCTCTCCTCCTCCTCCCACATCACAGCACCCCTCACCAGACTCTACCCTTACCCCACCCCCTTAGCATATCTCACCCTTACAATGCTTCCTTTACCCTGCTCACTGAACTGAACTGTCTGATGCTGGTGCTGGTGCAGGCAGGGCCAAGGGGGTGAGCACCCCACGCTGGAAAGGAGCCCTTACCTCTCTCCCCTACCTCCCCCGCCAGCCAAGCAGCTGAGGGTGCTGCGGCCCCTGGAGGATGTGACCATTACCGAGGGGGGCAGTGCCACTTTCCAGCTGGAGCTGTCCCAAGAGGGCGTGGCCGGGGAGTGGGCCCGGGGTGGAGTCCGCCTACAGCCGGGGCCCAAGTGCCACATTCACGCCGAGGGCCGCAGCCACTGCCTGGTGCTCAGTGGCCTGGGCCTGGCCGACTCCGGGTGCGTCTCCTTCACCACCGATGCTCTGCGCTGTGCAGCGAGACTCACTGTAAGAGGTGCGGCTCCATGACCCCGCCCACCTGCCTTGCTGACCTGTGTGGCTCTACTGACCCCACTGCCTGTGTGTCCCCACTGACATGCCTGCCCCAGTGTGTCTCCCACTGGTCTCCCTGTTGGAGTGAGACTCCCCTGAGCCCTTGTCCCTGCCTGAGTGTGGCCCTCTGACCACTTCCATCTGACTGTGCCGCTGTGACTGTGCCTAGGCGAGTAGGGACCCTGTTGTCTATCTCCCTGAGTACAGCTCCACTGACCACTCTGTGTGGCACCTCTACCCACTACCCGCCTGAGTGTGGCCCCTGACTACTCCTGTGCCTGGGCTTCACTGCTTGCCTGTTGAAGTGGGGGGGTTTCCCCAGCAATGTTCCAGTCTCCCCCACTTTGGCTCCCCCTGTGTGTTCCCCACTGGCCACACCTGCTCTCTGGTCCCCCCACTGCCTCTCTGAACCCACTGTAGCCCCAGGTGTGACCCCCACTGTCCATGGCTTTCCATGGTCCACTGGTCCCTCTGATCCAATTTATCCCTCCCTCGTGCCTCTAGCCCCAACATGTTCTGCTTAAAAGTGTTCCCCATCCTCCGACCTCACCCCCCTGTCCCCTGGCTCAGCCAGCCACCTGGGAATCCTTAATACATCCCTACCCACTGACCAGCATCCTCTGGATCACTATTGCCCAGCATGTCTCCCCTCTCCCCATCCCCTTGTCTACATGTGTCCACCGCGGTGTCCAAATCTGTCCTTGTCCCTACACATCCTTACCCCAGCTCCCTCTACATTCTCCACCATCTCCTGCTCTTAGAGGTCCCAGTGACTATTGTGTGGGGACCACAGGACCTAGAGGTGACTGAGAGCGACACAGCTACATTCGAGTGCGAGCTGTCCCAGGCCCTGGCTGATGTCACCTGGGAGAAGGTCAGAGCCAACCCCAGCCCACCTCATCACAAGAACAACCAGCCCCCATTGAACAACGGGTCTGGCACTATGCTAAGTGTACATCATAGTTCATCTTTTGATCCTATGAGGCCCACTAGGATTGGTCACCCGGGGTGGTGGGACTGGGGCAAGAGGTCCACCCTCTCCCATTGGCCACGGCAGAGACCCTTTTCTCTGCCCAATAGTAAGCACGGAGGCTGGGCTGGCTGGACCCTGACTGGTGAGTGCCATGGAAGACGGGAGTGCATTATGACACTGGGTGATGGGTGACACCGACGCCAGTGATAGCCACTGTCTTGTCAGCCCTTGCCTGCGCAGCTCCAAATCCTGGAGTCATTAGGTGCCACCCTCTCTTGTCAGGGTGTGGTCCAAAACACTACTGCCTCCTCTGCCCCCAAGCTATGTGAGACAGGCTCAGTGCACTGAAGCGGCTTGCCCAAGGTCAGACAGTAGAGGCAGAGCTCCAGTTTGAACCTGGCCTTGCCCAATCGCAGGCACCCTAACTCCCGCCCCAGGCCATCAGGACGTGGCTCTGGCCTTCCCAGGCCAGTGGCTCCCCTTCTGGATCCCCGAGGGGTGATCCTCCCATGGTGGCTCCTACAGCGGCCCTGCCTGCCGCCTCAGGACGGCCCTCGAACACAACCTGGGGGGACAAACTCCTCCAAGCCACCTGGCACCAACCGAGGGCGCTGACGCCTTATAGGTTGCCCGCCTCCGCCCCTCCCGCTCCTAGGATGGGCGCGCGCTCTCCCCGAGCCCCCGACTCCGGCTGCAGGCCCTTGGCGCGCGCCGCCTTCTGCAGCTGCGACGCTGCGGCCTCTCCGACGCCGGGTCCTACAGCTGTGCGGTGGGGACGGTCCGGGCCGGGCCTGCCCGCCTGGTGGTGCACGGTGGGTATGGGCGATGCGGGCTGGGCACTGTCAGGGAGCTTTCTCCGGACGTGAGCTGGTGTTTCCTGGGAGAGGGGCGGGGGCGGCGCTAGGTATCCACCGCTCCGCCCCTGTTCACGCCCCATCCCAGAGCGCACAGTGGCTGTCCTTTCGGAGCTCGGATCGGTGCGCGCCCGGGAAGGCGACGGCGCCACGTTCGAGTGTACGGTGTCGGAGGCCGAGACCACCGGGCTCTGGCAGCTCCGAGGCCGCCCGCTGAAACCCGGAGGCCGCGTCCGCATCCGGCAGGAAGGTCCGAATGCCTTCTAGGCTTTTCGACCTCCAGCGCGCGGCCCTTTACTCGGCCCGGACAGACCCCGCCCCACTCAGATAAGCCCCGCCTCCGACCCGGAGGAGCTCCTCCTCTGGGCCCGCCCCCTCCAGTCTTCCCTGCTCCCCGCTGCTCGGATCCTACGGGACCCCGGCCGCCCCTCTCCATTTCGCCCACCCTGGCGCATGTTTACCGCCCCGGCCCCGCCTCCCACCCTCCCCCTTCCCTGGTCGGCTCCGGTCTCGCTAGTGCCCCCTCACTCCCAGGGAAGAAACACATGCTGGTGCTGAGCGAGCTGCGCCCCGAGGACGCCGGAGAGGTCCTATTCCAGGCCGGACCCGCCCAGTCCGCGGCCCAGCTGGAGGTGGAGGGTGAGCCGGGGCAGGTTCGGGAGGGCCCTTCACCTCCTGCCCTGGGATCGGCGGCTGGCTGTGGCTCCTAGGAGCGCAGCCTCCTGCCGCCCCCCGCAGGGCTGTTCCCGGCGGGCGAGGAGCTTTTTGGAACAGGCGCTGGAGAAGGAAAAGATTTGGAGCTGGTGGCTTGGAGGCTAGCGGGGCAGAAGCCGAGGTCTCCCGCAGGGAAGATGCACCTCTCTCTTTCGGGGGACCTCCGTGCCCCATTAACTTGGGCCTCTGCCCCTCCCACCCCAGCTCTGCCGCTCCAGATATCCCGCCGGCCCCCTCGTGAGAAGACTGTGCTGGCCGGCCGCAGGGCAGTGCTGGAGGTGACAGTGTCCCGCGCCGGGGGCCACGTGTGCTGGCTGCGGGAGGGGGTGGAGCTGAGCCCAGGAGACAAGTATGAGCTGCGCAGCCACGGCCCCACCCACAGCCTTGTCATCCATGACGTGCAACCCGAGGACCAGGGCACCTACTGCTGCCAGGCCGGCCAGGACAGCGCCTACACTCAACTGCTGGTAGAGGGTGAGTAAGCTGCCCCGGTAGAGGTCAGAGGGGCAGGCGGCTGGGCCGGCAATGTGAGGGTTGGGGTAAAGGGCCTTTGCAGGATTGCTGAAGCAGGTTGTTCTGGAATGTGCTGGGAGCTCTCCTAGAGAGCTGAGGACAGAAGGCAGTCTTGTTAGTGAGCTAGCCAAGCCCACCTTCCTAGCCTGTTCCTGCCCTGGCCTTCACACTCTCCTGCCTCTGGATCGATCACCCCCAGCCATTTCTGACCTGGTTTCCCCCTTCCTCCTCACTGTCCCTGGCGGCCCTGTGGCCCCCACCTGCCCCGCCTTGCCTCTCACATCTCTGCCAATTCCACACCAGCCTGGGCCCCTGACCGTCTCTGGACTTGTACTTCTTCCAGGAGCTAAGCCACACCCTCCACCCCTCTTCCTCCACAAACTGGGCCTGCCCCCTCCTTCAGCCCCCACCTCCTGTCCTCCCTAGACAGATCTCAAGACCCAAAATTGATGGGGCAGTGGAAGAGGGCAGCCCTTCCCATGTGGGTGTCAGGCTCCTAGGACACTGGGGGGGGGGTGTCCAGGGGGTGGCATTACTCTGTGTCCCATGTGGAGTCATTCCCCTGCAGGGAGCTAGAAGAACGGAGCCAGCCTCAGGCCGAGCAGAAACCAGGGCCCATACTCTGGGCGTGGGGGCAGGCGAGCTCGCGGTGACAAGTCAATAAATGCCTACAGCCTCGTTCTTGCCTGTGTGTGTGACCTGGGAGGGCAGGGCAGGCCCGGCCCGGTCCAGAGCTCCAGGTGTGACCCGGGGACCAGGGGCTGCTATAAGTGTAGTTTGGCTCATGGCAGTGCAACTGCTGAAGACCATGACTCCTAGCAGTTTGGCACATTTATAAAAGTTGTAAAAGGAGGAGGGGGACAAAAGCATGAGGTGTCCAGGGTGGCATGACAGACACCAGACATGCACCGTGCACTGGAAACCCGCAGGCCTTGCCCTCTGCAGAGGACAGGGGACCCCAGTGAGGAGGGCAGCAGTCTTTCCCCCCCGCTACCCAAAAAGGATGAGAACCCCTAGATGAGAAATCTGGGTGGGAGGCAGGGAGGGGGAGGGAGGCAGGCCTCCACCATGTACACATGCAGGAGGGTGGCCTGTGGCCCCAGCAGGGGGCAGGCGACAGGTTGATCTTGGTGAAGCCCGACCAATCTGAAATCAAAGGCAAGGGTCCCAGTGCCCCCTCCACTCCCATCCCCTCCACACACACAGAAAACACAACCCTGAGCACACCTCAGTGAGGTTCCCACCCGAGTTCCTCAGGAGTCCCAAAGGAGCCTGGGAGAGGGCTGTCCCCTTAGGTCAGGCCTCGCCTGAGGATGATCTTCCTTCTTGGAATCAGGCCAGTCCCCTTCCAGCCAGGGGGGCCCGGTCCGGCAGAGCTGGTGATGAAGAGTCAAAGCAGGTGGGGGCTCGTCGTGCTATACTCGCACAGGGGGGCCTGTGCAGGCCGTCAGTGAGCCCCGGGACCCACACTCGTAGTCGGCCTCGGTGGGTGGGCTTAGGAAGGAGCTCAGGGAGCTGCCAGTCTGCCGGTCCCGGAAACTCTGGATGTAGCTCTGTAGGGAATGAGAAGTAGGGGTAAGAGTCCCACGGCCACCCAGCCACACAACCTGGTGGGCAGGCAGCCTTTCCCCATCCCCCTCACTAGCCTGAGACACCCCAGACAGCCATAGACCCAGGGCCTGCCCCCACATCCCATGAAAACTACACTTGGAAGCCTTATGCCCCTGTTCCAGAGCTGACCCACCAGGCTCCTCTCCGGGTGACAATGGGTGCACAGACATCGGCCACTTCTAGACAGTGACACGTGGACAGCCTCTGGAAGAGACCCGCTCTGCTTAGACAGTCCAGCCTCTTCTCACTCGGCTGGGCAGTTTGGCCTGCTCACCGGGGATAGGATGTCTCCATTGAAGCGTTTGATGGGCACCGGCCGCCGCCGATATGCAGGGTCGGGGGGAACGGGCCGTGGGGGAGGAGCACGGGGTCCTCTTGGGGGGGCCCTCGGGGGCCTCTTCTTCCGCCGCTTCTCCTTGCGTTCTTCTTGCTGCCGAATCCGCATCAGCTGCACACGTCGCCGCTGCCGGCTGATGACCACTTAGAGAGGATGGGAAAGTAGGTCTCAGAAGCCCCCAAGCCTCCATTGCTTCCTACCTAGGGCATTGGGCTCCCCCGATGTCCAAGCTGTGTTGCCCCGTCACCCAAGCTGGTACTCCCTGCACTTGCCCCGGTTGTTGGAAGGTCAGAGGAGGCTTCCGGGCACCCCTTCAAGCCTAGGTGACGTCCCCTGGACCAACCACGCTGTCACTCAGCTGTTCAACTACTGCTGCTTCCTACCCCAGCTGCCCTTGCTAGACCCAGCAGCCAGAGGGACGTCCGAATTCAGCCTTCAGTGTTGCTTCCCCGGCTCTACTGCCCCCGCCACTGCTTTCTCGGTGCCCTTCTAACAAAGTCCAGAGTCTTAATCGTGGCCCAGAGGAACTTGCCAACTGGCATCCCTCACAGGACACTCCAGTCCCGCCTCTTCAAGCCAGACCTTCCGCAGGGCCCTGGCCCTTGCTGATCCCTATTCTCTGCACAGTGGCTCCTCATCCTTCAGGCTGCTGCTTCAATGTCTCCTCCAAGTGGCCTTCCTTGACACTCCGCCCCCCCCTTCAATCCCATTAGGGTGTACGTTATCTCCTTCATGTCTCCCACGCAGCAGGGCAGATCTTACTCGTTTATAGGGCCACTGTCTGTCCCCCACGCCCCGTGGCAACCCACAGGGGCAGGGGGCGTCTGTTTGGGCTGCTGTAGCCCTAGGGCCTGGGATGAGGTTTGGTCTAGGCACCCAAGCTCCATAGTGATGCCTGCCCTCTAAGACCTGGCATGTACTGGCTTCTGATCCCGTCCCCCACCCCCACCCTCACCCCCTGGCATCTATTCCCTTCCTGCCCACCCTGACGGGTGCCCCCTCACCTTCCGTGTGGGAGTCTCTCTCGGCAGTCACCCGCCACTGCACCAGCACGCCCCCCAGGCTGAGGAGCGGCCAGAGTGCCAGCAGGGCCCAGCTCCGCCAGCAGAGCGGGGGCACGGGGGTGGCCCGCAGCCTTTCAACTGCATAGCGCCCCAGCAGCAGCAGCTCGGCAAAGTAGTCCGCGGCGGTGGCGATGAGCGCAGCTCCGGTCACCGCGGTGGCCAGGGTGGTCAGTGGACGGGGCCAGCGCAGTGTGAGCAGGGCGCAGAGCAGGCCACCTCCCAGCAGCAGCCCCAGCGGGCCCCACACGGAGCCTGGCTGGTAGTAGGGTGCGGAGCCCAGCAGGGCGGCGGCGGCGAGCAGCAGGCCAAGCAGCAGCCCCACCAGGAAGAGGCCCACGCTGCGCACCAGCATGGCCACCAGCCCACACAGCAGCCCGATGCCCAGGGCGATGCCGGCGCTCGCGCCCGCGCTCAGCTGCGTCTCCAGCACCCGCTCTCGGTAGCACAGCAGGAAGATGACCACGGAGCCGAAGAGCAGCCCCGTGAGGAAGAGCACTGCCTTGAAGCAGCGGTAACCTGGAGGGGGACAGGGCCCAGGAGGGGTCACGGCTCTGGAGGGTGGAGGTTAGGGGCAGCCACGTGGGGTTTCCCGAGGAATCAGAAGGAGGGAACTGAGATTAGAGACTGGGGTGGGGGTGGGCAATGAAATGTGAGGAGGTCATAGAAGTAAGGGCAGTCGGGGTCCCTGGGGAAACAGGAAACCGACACAGCTGTTGAGCTAAACGGATTGGGGTTTCCTCGGATCAGAGTTGGGTCGTCAGAGTCAAGAGGGGTGGCTAATAGGGTCACAGGGGGCCTCAGGATCAGGCCAGCCAGAGAGGAGTCATTGGGGGCCATGAGCGGTTCAGCCACAGTCCGTGGGGTCCTTGGGGGAGGGCTGTTCAGCGAGCCAGACGGTAGTTGAAAATCCAAAAGAACTGATCAGTGGGGTCACATGGGACCTGCGGAAAGCTGAGGCCTCTGAGGGGTGGTGGGTTCAGAGACCGGGTCATCAGAAGGGAGAGAGGACACAGAGAAGCATGGGCTTTGGGGAGGGGGACTGGGAGATTGGGGGGGCGGGGGGACACGACCCACAGGTGGAATTGCTGAGAGGATTAAAGGGTTTCTGAGAGGGGAACATGGAGATGAGAGAAATGGGCACACTGGAGCTCACGGCAGGAGAGGGGGAATCAGACAGTGAGGTCACAGGGGTAAGGAGCAGTCAACAGCTACCGGCAATAGGAGGGATAGAGAGGGCCAGAGGGACAGGTGGTAAGAGGTCACTAGGTTTAACAAGGAATCGTAGGGAATCAAAGAGGATTATAGAAGAGGGGAAAAAAACCCCAGAAGTTCTAGGGCAGTGGGTCCCATGGAGAGGTGACAGAGGTGTAGGACCTGAGTAGGTTCTATCAGAGGTGGGGACCAAGGGGTCAGGGGAGCCAAGAGAAAGTCAATATGATGAAATTCAGGTCCAGCAATGAGGGAAAGTAGCAGCATCCAGAAGGATCTGGGATCAAAGAGTAGGGTGTGGAGGGGGGTTCAGAGTCTTGGAGTGGGGACATCCCAGGGGGCGGGGTGTTAGGGCAGAAGGATATCAGCACCATGCACGGGGATGAGGGTGGGTCCTAGAAGGGGTGCAGGGATGCAGACTCCCGGTAGGTCCACACACCCCACACCCTTGGGCAGGCACCTCTTCCTGCCCACTATGCAGTTGTTCAGTCCAGTGTTTGTGGGTGGGAGGGGAGAGACCATCTGGCTCCCATTCCTGCCTACTCAGCCATTCTGGGGGTGGGGGTTGTGGAGGCTAGAGAAGACAAGTTTTGCCCCACTTTTGTCCAGCTTGAAAGCCCAACCTCCCTTCCTCTATGGTACCCAGTACTTCGAGAAGCTCATAATCTTCCTCTCAGACACTTCATGGGGGCCCCAGCCCATGTTGTCCTCTCCCTTCTTGTAGAGTCCCTGGGCACTTGCTTCAAGCTGCCTCTAGCCCACACGGCACTTTTGTGAACATTTGGAAAAGGTATGCTTTCCTTTAGGCCGAAGACACCTTGTGCTCAGGCCCGAAGTTTGGCAACTGGTACATGGCCTGGATTTCAGCCCCTTCTTTCCTATTCAACAGAGCTCCTTTGTGCACTGCCTACCCTGTACATCTGTACACAGCAGCTCTGATGACTGGAGCCTGCCTTGTAAGTGAGATCCACAGGAATAACTACCATCCAGGTCACTCTAATATGTATCACCGGTGGGGATGTTCCAGGAGTCTCTCCCTATCAGCTGATAAACTCTGTGGAAAGGGACCGTGTTTATTCACTCTGCTCAATACTTTCAGCATCTCCCTCATGCGGTGACCCTAACACTATTATTATCTCTCCACAGTAAAGAAAACAAAAGCAACGAAAACCTTACTGCCATCCATTTAGACTCATAGCAATCCTATAGGACAGAGTAGATAGAATAGCTCTGAGACTGCAACTCTTCACAGAAATAGAAAGCCTCAGCTTTCCCCTTTGGGGCAGCTGGTGGTTTTAAACTACTGACCTTGACATTAACATCCTAACACAGCCTGCTACACCATTTGAATGCCTACTAATTTTCACAACGTCCTGTGTAAGAGAAGTATTATGGTTCAGGTAAGAAAACTGATGCTCCGAAAAGTGAGGTTCATGTGCTCAGGGATCACATAGGGTAAGGTACCGAGCCCAGCTCAAACTCAAGTGGGTCTAATTCGAAAACCTGTGTCCTCCAGTATGGAGAGCAGTGTTTCCCAAAGGGGGCAATACCGCCCCCTTCAGGGGACTAGAATGTCCAGGGAGTTACAAAAGCCTGAACTTTACCCTGGATTATGGGTTATGGGACAAATGTTTTTCATTTCCAGGGGACCCTGAATATTTTTTTTCCTTAAAAGGAGGCAGCAGTCTGAATATGTTTGGGAATCTATGATATAGAGTCTGCCTGATCTATAAACATATGGAACAAAACACAGAGAGAAAAATAGTTCTTCATGGTGGTGATGGTCCCAGAAAGATTGGGGTGCCCTGGGGAAACAGTGGGGGAGCTCAAGTGAGGGATGAGATGGGGATCTCACCAAAGAAGCAGTAGATGACTCCAAACAGACAGCACATGATGCAGACGAGAGCTGGGAGCGCCTGGTACCTGCGCTCCGGGGGCTGCTCACAGGGTGCCCCCCAGAAGGCGTCATCTGGCTCGGGGGGCAGCAGCTGGAACCGCAGCGTCGCCACAGTGCCGGGCATTGTACTGAGAATGGAGGTAGTCACCCTCCTCTGTCAGACTGACAGGAGGCTGGGGTCAAAGAGGAATCTTGGGTCCCCGCTGGGATGAGGGTGGGAGTGGGAGGACCAGGCAAGGGCACAATGGACAAACAAGGGGAGGAATGCCCACACCATGCAGCTGGAGTGGGGTCCAAATCTAGAGGTGCCTGGGTGGAGAAGTTAAAAGGGGAGCTGAGAGGAGGGCCAGTGTGCAGCCGGTGAGAAGCAGGCAGCCTGGAGACTCGTGGGCGGCCAGGTCTGGAATTGTCCAAGATCTACCTGGGCTGGAGGTGATCTGAGCTGAAGAGGCGGGATAGGCGCCGGAGGGGGAGGGGATGCGGGGCGCCAGGGCCTCCAAGTGACAGGGGTCCTGAAAAAAGTCCACCGTGCTGGCACGGGGGCTGCTGGGCCCGAGCGACCGGTCTCTGCGCGGCGTCGGCGTCGCTGCTCCGCCTACAACACCCGCGGGCACTCCAGAGCCGCGATGTCCGGGGAATCGGGCTCCTGGGAAAGGGAAAGGAGCAGGAGCAGGGGCTCGGGCCGCCCCAGAGCCGCGGCCCCATGCCCTGAGCCCGCCCGCGGCCTTTGGTGCTGATGGACAGCTCCGGCCTCTGCTCCTGACGTCACTCAGCGCGCACCATCCAGCCAGGGGCAGGCTGCTTCTGACGTCACCTGGGACGCACCAACCACGCAGGGAGAGAAAGGGAACTCCGCCCCCGATGTCTCTCTCTCCCGCACTGTGGAGGGGGCACTTCCGGGGGCCCTTCCCTTTTAACACCCCCCCTCCATCTCCTCCCTTCGAGGGAGCCGGAGCCTGAGACCCCACCCCGGGGGCGGGGCTCGCGCAGTGACACGTCGGACAGCTGCGGTGGCGGCGGAGCCTCGGGCGCCGAGCTCAAGGACCGCACGGCATCGAGAGGCAGCTGGAGGGCAATCGGAGCGCGGCGCAGAGTGTTTGGCTTGGGCCGCGGGCTCTGCTTGGAGGGGAGGGAGCGGGCCAGTCCGCTGGGCCCAGGCTCCCCCCCCCGGATCCGCCCCTCCCCGGTCCCGCCCCCTCGGAGCCTCCCCGGCTGCTCTGGAGCTGCGCGGGGGCTAGGGGCCCGCGGTCCGGGCGCCATGCGGGCGTCGCTGCTGCTGTCGGTCCTGCGGCCCGCGGGGCCCGTGGCCGTGGGCATCTCGCTGGGCTTCACTCTGAGCCTACTCAGCGTCACCTGGGTGGAGGAGCCGTGCGGCCCAGGGCCACCCCAGCCCGGAGACTCTGAGCTGCCTCTGCGCGGCAACACCAACGCCGCGCGCCGGCCCAACTCCGTGCAAGCTGGCGCAGAGCGCGAGAGGCCCGGGCCCGGCGCCGGGGAGAACTGGGAGCCGCGGGTCTTGCCATATCACCCAGCACAGCCCGGCCAGGCTACCAAAAAGGCCGTCAGGTAGGGCTCGGCCCCGCCCGCCCCGCTCGCCCCGCCCCCTGGGCACCGGTAGAAGGGGGGCGCACACGCCGGGGACGCAGCCTGGAGCCGGGTCAGGCTCCGGAAGGAAGGAGGCTGGCCGGCCAGGAAGTCTTTGGGCTCTGATAACTTCCGATCCTTGTTTCCTTGGGGGCTGTGGGACCCTTCTGAGGCCGGGACTGGACTCTGCCTCAGGCCGAGCTGAAATCGCCCGCGTGTGCCCCAAATCTGCTCGACCTCAGGGTTTTCCAAAGATCCTCTTAGCTTCCTAACTGGGCAACATGCAGGGGTTGGAGAAATGATTGGTGTGTGAATGAGTTTCTAGAGATGAAAACGTTGGATTTTCCTATTGCTCTTGCTCCTGGCTAGGGCACGAGCCAGCTGGAGAGGAGGTGCTACCATTTCAATAATGCCTCTCCTGAGGAGGTTAGGTCATTTCTCCTAAGTAACACTGGTTTCAGAATTCCAGCCCTGCAACTTACCATTCATTGTGAAGGCAGGTAAATTACTGGAACCTCTGAGCCCCAGACTAACCCTTCTCAAAAGATAGTCAATGCCGCGTGTTGCTTTAGATCGTTTATGCCGTGTATTTCTGGCATAATGACATATTTACATAGAGATAACGTGGGTACATAGGATATACAATAACTACTATGTGCCATGACTTTGGCTGGGTGCTTTCAATAGATAATAGTCACCCCCATTTTACAATGAAGTGACTATATAGCTCAAAGGGATGAAATAACTTACTCAAGGATGCATAACTGCTAAGTTTTAAGAATTAAATCCACATCGCATCTGCATAAAGATTTCCATATCCCAAATGCAAAGCACTAGAAGGTAAGGCAAATATTTCCCTTAAGCTCTATGGCCCGATTCGTAAGGAAGCAGACCCAGAGAAGAGAAGCTGGCCCAGGCCATGGCCCTTGACCCTGCTGGCCCCTGCCCTCCTGTTGTTTTATAACGGGCTGTCTCCTCTCCCAGGACCCGCTACATCAGCACGGAGCTGGGCATCAGGCAGAGGCTGCTTGTGGCGGTGCTGACCTCACAGGCCACATTACCCACGCTGGCCGTGGCCGTGAACCGCACGCTAGGGCACCGGCTAGAGCGCGTGGTGTTCTTGACTGGTGCTCGGGGCCGCCGGGTACCACCAGGCATGGCCGTGGTGACCCTGGGTGAGGAGCGGCCCATCGGGCACCTACACCTGGCGCTCCGCCACCTGCTAGATCAGCACGGCGACGACTTTGACTGGTTCTTCTTAGTGCCTGACACCACCTACACGGAAGCGCACGGACTCTCGCGCCTCGTTGGCCGCCTCAGCCTGGCTGCTTCTGCTCACCTCTACATGGGCCGGCCCCAGGACTTCATCGGCGGGGAGTCCTCCCCAGGCCGCTTCTGCCACGGCGGCTTTGGCGTGCTGCTGTCCCGAACGCTGCTGCAGCAGCTGCGCCCCCACCTGGAAAGCTGTCGCAATGATATCGTCAGCGCGCACCCGGACGAGTGGCTGGGGCGCTGCATCCTGGACGCAACCGGCGTGGGCTGTATTGGAGACCACGAGGTGGGAAGATAAGCCGTGCTTGAGCGAATACCCATCCCCCTGAGAGGCAGGGGAAGAAGCTGGCCTGAGTTTCTGTGTCGATTCTGTTATTTCCTATCTGTGTGACCGCAGGCCAATGATTCTATCTCCCCGGTTTCAGTGTTCTTACTCGAGGTCGTTAATTGAAGATGAGAGAAAAGAAGTCCTGGTATTGTAGTAAGGAGCCCTTGTGGCCTAGTGGTTATACGTTGGGCTGCTAACTGCAAAGTCAGCAGTTCAAAACCACCAGCCCCTCAATGGGAAAAAGATGATGCTTTCTTTTTTTTTTAGATGATGCTTTCTACACCCATAAAGAGTTATAATTTTGAAAACCCACAGGGGCAGTTGTATCCTGTCCTATAGGGTCGCCACAAGTCAGAATCGACTTGATGGCAGTGAGTTTGGTTTTGTGTTTTGGTGACGGAGGGGTTAAGCTGCTAACTGGGAGGTTAGAAGTTTGAAGCCACCAGCCACTCCTGGGGGAAGGGAAGATGAGGCTTTCTACTCCCATATAGAGTTGCCGTCTTGGAAACCCACAGGTGCAGTTCCACCCTGCCCGTTAGGGTCGCCATGAGTCCGAATGGACTCGAGGACAGAGGGTTTTTTTGTAAGTTTGGTGGCACAGCGATGAAGCACTCGGCCGCGAACAGTAAGGGTCACAACTGAAGCCCAGGCAATTGTTCCATGTCTCTGCTGCTATCAAGCCTTGTGGCTTAGAAAACCTTATGGAGCAATGCTTCTCAGTCGGCTGGGGTTGCTAGGAGTCAAAATCGACTTGATGCTGGCACCAAACGACAGTGGCATAGTCAGTGTCAGTGTTGGCTCCTTCTAGTTTCTTTAAAGCTCTGCCCAGTTCTGTGAAGTAGGACAGGTGTGTGTGTGTGTGTGTGTGCGTCCATTTCACAGATGAGCTAGCAGAGGCTTGCCTGAGGTCAGCAGATCAAGGTGGACTTAATCCCCCTGACCTCTGACTCCAGGTCCACTGCAGGCTGTGGGGGTAGATACTCGCTGTCAGACCAGGAGCACACTGGCCTTAGCACTCTTTTCCTGAGCCCCCCCTTCCTTTCCCCAGGGGGTACATTATAGCTACCTGGAGCTGAGCCCTGGGGAGCCGGTGCAGGAGGGGGACCCTCGTTTCCGCAACACCCTGACAACCCACCCTGTGAGGGACCCTGTGCACTTGTACCAGCTGCACAAGGCCTTTGCTCGAGCGGAGCTGGAGCGCACATACCAGGAGATCCAGGAGCTGCAGGTAAGGCCGGGGCTGGGGTCAGACAGGGCCAGGATGCCGTACCAGGGGAGTTTGAGAATCCCAGCAAGTCTGCCTCTGTCCCCACCTTCCTCCAAGGAACCCCAGCAGGGTACCCCCTTCCCACTTTAACTCTCAAACTGCCACCATCTGGGGAAGAATGGATGGGAGACCAAGGTGGGCAAAGGAGCTGTCCCCTGTGGCACCTGCTGCCTGCTCAGTCCTCCAGCTGTGGGCCATCCCCGAGCCCCCTGCCTGTTGACGGCCCCTTTTCCCCCCTTTTTCCTACAGCGGGAGATCCAGAACACCAGCCGCCTGGCAGCTGATGGCGAGCGGGCTGCTGCTTGGCCCGTGGGCATCCCCGCACCCTCCCGCCCTGCCTCCCGATTCGAGGTGCTACGCTGGGAATATTTCACGGAGCAGCATGCCTTCTCCTGTGCTGACGGTTCACCACGCTGCCCGCTGAGGGGGGCTGACCGAGCCGATGTGGCTGACATTCTCAGCGCAGCCCTGGAGGAACTCAACCGCCGCTACCACCCGGCCCTGCAGCTCCAAAAGCAGCAATTGGTCAACGGCTACCGACGCTTCGATCCCGCCCGGGGCATGGAATACACGCTGGACCTGCAGCTGGAGGCGCTGACCCCCCAGGGTGGCCGCTGGCCCCTCACCCACCGGGTGCAACTACTCCGGCCACTGAGCCGTGTGGAAATCCTGCCCGTGCCCTATGTCACCGAGGCCTCCCGTCTCACTGTGCTGCTGCCGCTGGCTGCTGCCGAGCGTGACCTGGCCCCAGGCTTCCTGGAGGCCTTCGCAGCTGCAGCCCTGGAGCCTGGCGACGCCACGGCCGCCCTGACCCTGCTGCTGCTGTATGAGCCGCGCCAGGCCCAGCGGGCAGCCCACGCTGACATCTTTGCCCCCGTCAAAGCCCACGTGGCAGAGCTGGAGCGGCGGTTCCCTGGCGCCCGGGTGCCCTGGCTTAGCGTGCAGACAGCAGCGCCCTCCCCGCTGCGCCTTATGGACCTGTTGTCCAAGAAGCACCCGCTGGACACGCTGTTCCTGCTGGCCGGGCCAGACACGGTGCTCACGGCAGACTTCCTGAACCGCTGCCGCATGCACGCCATCTCGGGCTGGCAGGCCTTCTTCCCCATGCACTTCCAGGCCTTCCACCCCACTGTGGCCCCGCCGCAGGGCCCCGGGCCACTGGAGCTGGGCCGAGACACGGGCCGCTTCGATCGCCAGGCGGCCAGCGAGGCCTGCTTCTACAACTCGGACTATGTGACAGCCCGCGGGCGGCTGGCGGCCACCCCGGAGCAAGAGGAGGAGCTGCTGGAGAGCCTGGACGCTTACGAGCTGTTCCTGCGCTTTTCCAGCTTGCACGTGCTCCGCGCGGTAGAGCCCGCGCTGCTGCAGAGGTACCGGGCCCAGCCTTGCAGCGCCCAGCTCAGCGAGGACCTGTACCACCGCTGCCGCCAGAGCACGCTGGAGGGCCTGGGCTCCCGCACCCAGCTGGCCATGCTCCTCTTCGAGCAGGAGCAGGGCAACAGCACCTGACCCCGCCCGCCCACACCTGGCCAGCATCCCGGAGCACCCCTCAACCTGCCCAACAGCCTCGCCAGTGGGGCTCAAGCCTCAGACCGCAAGGTGGCCCTGAGCCCTGTCTGGCTTTGTGAGTCTCTGGGCTCAGGACAAACCCTGGAGACCCAGCCTCCCGTTCCCACCCCCTTGACGCTGCTGATTGGGGCTGTGGCCTTGCAGTTCAGTCTGCCTGACGCCAGTCCACCTCCTGGGGGGGTCCCCAGGGAGCTGGGCTGCAGATAAGTTGTTGGGGGAGGAGGAGGGTGGCCCTCTGACTGATGGAACTCCTTGCCTTGAATAAACAGGCTGAGCGAGAACTAGTGACCTGTGTTCGTTCCTGTGTACTATGTGGAAGGGGGGGGGGGGGAACACGTTGATGGTTGGATCCAATCAGCAACATTTTAGAGGGAAAACCTGGCAACTTGTTGCCTCAAGAGCTCAGCCAAGTACACCCCCATCCCGTGAAACAGGTCTTTTCTGCAGATGAGGCTCCCAGGAGGCAGGTCAACTTGATGGTGACAAACTTGGGGGTTGGGTTTTCAGTAGGGGCAGGGAGGTGGGGGTGCAGTAGTGTGTGGTGCGTGTGTGTAGGGCCCCTTGTCCCTGCTGGACCTGGATTTCTTCTTCCTGGATAGTCAGGCAGATGCCTATTCTGGCCCTGGTCCTGCACGTGACAGAAAACACACACACACACACACACACACACACATCTTTATGCCTCTTTATTCCCAGTTTCATCAGCACTTTATAAAACCAGACCAGAGCCAGAGAGGCGTGAGGCCTGAGAAGCCTCCCTCCCCCACCTCCACAGCTTAGCAGGGGTCTGAAAGGTCTGCCTGCTCCCAGTGGTGGTGACAAGGGGTGGGGGTGGGGTGCAGGGGAAACTGGGAGCTGGACCAGGCCTGCTGGGCCACCCACTCCCCCTGCCAAGAGGGGAGGACCAGGAAGCAGGTGGCTCAGTACCCCTGAGACCTTCACCCTCTGCTGCTGACACTAGGGCCTAGACCCTAGTTGTCCCTGAATCACCCCTCCCTGAAGCCCCACCCAGCCTTCTATAATTGGTACCCTCAACCCCCACCCAGCCTCCCTTAGTATATACAAATGTACAATAGGTTCCTCCCCTGCTGCGGTGGTCACCTTCCTCCCACCCCCTCCACAGGGCCCAAGGCCTGGTCTCCTGCTGCCTCCACCACCAGCCTGGGGGAGAGGGTGCAGACACGTACACAGACTCTTGTGCAAAGTAGCTGGCTCCAGGGGCAGGTGAGAACAGGAACCGAGCCCCCACCCTCGCAGAGAGCACCCCAACACACACAGCCTTGGGCTGCCCCTAGGTCTTCAAGGTCCCAAGAGCAAGAGATGTTGAGGGGCTCAGGAGGGGTCCCAGACGCTTGGGTCCTTTCAGACACAGCACCCATCTTAGCAGGCGAAGTCTTCAAAGAGGCCTCCAGGAGGGCCGTGGGGGTGGTGGTGGTTGGGGAGCAGGCTGCTGGCCCCCCCGCCCTCAGCACAGCCTCGGCTTGGGCAGGGACTCTGTAAGGTGAAGGGGAAACAGGATGGTAGAGCTCCTACGGTGCCCCAAGCCTGGCTCTGCCAACCTTCTGGGCCCCTGGAGGGCAGCACCCCTAGGCTTGTTGTGATGTAGGAGGGCAGGGATACCAGCCTGGACAGACAGTGGGGCGGTGGGGGGGTGAGAAACAGATCATAGCTGCCCATTCCTCCTCACCTGCTCCTTCAGCTCCTGTAGCCCCAGGGTGGAGATGCCCCCACTGGAAGCCCTCAGGGGGGTCTTGGGATGACGCCACACCCGCTTTAGCCGGTCCCAGGACACCTTGGGGTTCAGGGTGGGGGTGGCAAGGGGCTCAGGAGATTTGGTAGCTAAAGAAGGACCTTTCCAGACCTGCCTAAGAGGACTTGCAGCCCCAGCAGGCCCCCACCAGATTCACCGGTGTCCGGTGTCCGTTCCTGGACACCTCAGTGCCTTCAGCCCTGATAAAGGGCCTGCGCCTGACCTCCCTGCTGTCCTGCCCACCCCCCAGCCCCTCGCTCCCTCTGTGCTTCCCACCCCACTCCCACCTGGCCCCCCAGCCCTGCCTCATAGACGTAGTCCAGGATCTCCAGCAATGTGAGGATGCTGGCCCCGATGAAGAGGCCCATCTGTCCCCCGAGGTCACCTGGGAGGAGAGAGCTGGGTCAGAGGGAGGAGGCTAGGCTCATGTGCAAACACCCACGCAGGCATGCAAGCACCCTGCTGACACGCCCCCACCCCCTGCAGGGGAGTGGGGTGGGGCCTGGCTCACCCAGCAGAGCTGAGAGCCCATAGGCTGCTCGCTGCTCCATGGCCTCAGAGGTCAGGGCCTCAAAAAAGATGTCCAGGACCAGGAAGTTCTCTCTGTGGAGACCGGAGGCAGGGGATCTAGGAGACCACTCTTCCTTAGGAGGTGGCCGGTGGATATCTCAAGTCCACAGATTCTGATCTGAAGCCACCCCCTGCACCAGGCTCTGAGAGAGAGGTTATGAGGCTGAAGTCCCGGATGCACGTGCTCAACAGACTAGGAGGCAAAGCGGAGTCTGAGAACACAGTCAAACTCCTAGGCCAGAAGGATGACGTTTGCTTCTGGAGACACTTCCGCGGCTCCCTAGTGCCCAACAATCCACTCCAAGTTCCTCTTCCGGATGTTCGAGGCTGCCGGCGATCCGCTCCCTGCCCCTCTGTTCACAGCTTTTCCCTTCTGCTGCCCCCCTCTCAGATGGGTCCCCGCAGCTCTCTGGGCCAGAACCGCCCCTTCTTCCTCCTCTCAGATCCAAACCGGGGTCCTGAACTCCTGCTCCTACCCCACCCCTACCCCTGGGGGATTCCGAGAACCAGTCCTGCGCCCTGAGCTCACCCACACAGGCTTCCTGGACGTCGGATCAGAATCATGTCATGCCCGAAGGTGCTCAACAAGTGCGAGCAGGCAGCGAGGGACCAGACCCAGGGCTCCGCTCAGGGCATCCCTGCACAGCATCCCCATCCCACTCGGCTCCCCTCCCCCAGCACCATGCCCCTTGACGTGCATTCAAGGGCGCCCAAGTTGCTGGAGAGTGGGGGACATGTAAAGGGGTTCTGAATGAATGCCACAGTGTGACAGCGCAGGGTGTGTGAAGGAAAGGCGCCCCTGAAGTGGAGACCCGGATGTGACTCCAAGGACGGGTTAGACCCAAGGGCGGGTTAGACCCAAGGGCGCGCTTGGATGGCAGAGGACTCATCCTGAACAAAGGTATAGCCCCGCCCAGTCTCCACTGAGCACGCGCAAGTAGGCACACACGTGCGCAGGCACACACGTGCGCCCCACATACCTTATGTAGGTCTCATTGCGATTGTACTTCCTTGCCAGGTATCGGGCTGATCCCCTGTTGGGGATCCTGACCATGGAGATTTCTTTCCCATAGCGTGTCAGGTTGCAGGGGGTCGGGCAGAAGCACGGGCCCTCGGAGCCCCCTCCCAGGGAGTCTACAACACAGAGGCACCAGCTGCAGGGGGAGTAGGGGGCGCAGGGAGGAAGCCTAGGGGCTGCTCTGAGCCAGGCACAGCTACACTGAGGGCCTCTTCTGGACAGTCCTGGTACTACATAGGGAGGCTGGGGGTCAGGGGGTCTGGGGACCTTCCTGGACCAGCTTCCGACTGCAGAAAGCAGGTAAGCAGTGGTTCTCACCCTGTGGGTCACGACCCCATTGGGGGGGGTCGAACGATCCTTTCACAGGGGTCGCCTGATTCATAACAGTAGCAAAATGACAGTTATGAAGTAGCAACGAAAATAATTGTATGGTTGGGGGTCACGACAACATGAGGAACTCTATGAAAGGGTCGCCCCATTAGGAAGGCTGAGAACCACTGCGGTAGAGGAAGAACCCCTGGGAACTTCCCATGGCTGATTCCTCAGCGTTGGCAGCCCCTTGGGGCAGAGAAGTCCTGTGGCTTGGAGAGATGACAGAGCCCATCCACCAGAGCCACCACAGGATGCCTCAGACACAGGAGGCCGGCTGGGTGGCTGAGTGGATGGATGAGTAAGTGGAGTGTGTATGGGTGGTTGAGTGAGTGTATGGTGGGTGATTGGATGGGAGGGTGGATAATGAATGAGTGGGTGGGTGGGTGGATGGATGATGAACGAATGGGTATAGGTGGGTGGGTAGGTTTATGGTGGGTGATTGGATGGGAGGGTGGGTTGTAGATGAGTGGGTGTATGTATGTATGTGTGGGTGGGTGAGTATATAGATGGGTGGTGGATGAGTGGGTGAATGTGTGGGTGGGTGAGTCCATGGGAAAGTAGATAGGTGGGTGGTGGATGGATGGGTGTGGATGGGTGGGTGAGTAGATGGATGGGTGGTGGGTGGGTAGGTGGCTGGATGGGTAGTGGGTGAGTAGATAGAAGAGTGAGTGGGTGGTTGTGTATGGTGGGTGGGTGGATGTGTGGATGAGTTGGTGGATAGATGGGTGGGTGGTGGTACGTAAGTGGTGGGTAGATGGGTGGGTGGTGTTGGGTAAGTGGTGGGTAGATGGGTGGCAGGTCAGGTGTGGTCAGTGCACAGAGGGGTTCACCTTACCCACCTGGGGCGAGCACTGCACTTTTCTTGAGACCATGAGAGAAGTAATTGTACTTCCCCAACGAGGGCAAGCTTATTTGCTGAACCCACACGAGAAGGCCAGACCTACACATGCAGGCCTGAATGCTGCCCCACAGCCTCCACTTACCCAAGTGTCCATACCTGCAAAGGCCCAGGTCCTCAGACCCCCTAGGCCAGCGGTTCTCAACCTGTGGGTCACCACCCCTTTGGAGGTCGAACAACCCTTTCACAGGGGTCGCCCAATTCATAACAATAGCAAAATGACAGTTATGAAGTAGCCACGAAAATAATTTTATGGTTGGGGGGTCACCACCACATGGGGAACTCTATGAAAGGGTCGCAGCATTAGTAAGGTTGAGAACCACTGCCCTAGGCTATGGGAAAAGAAGAGCCCTGGGCGACTGGGAGAGGTGGGAGAAGGTGGGCAGGGAGGAAGAGAAGAGGGTGGGAAGGGTGGGAGCAGGCATCACGGACCCAGCGTGTGGTCAGCACACTCGATGTAGATATTGGGCGGGCAGATAGTCTCATTGCCTGGAAGGAGAGAAGACGATGCCTGGGGTCTCTTGGGTCCAGCTCCTCCCCAGCTACATGCCCACCCAGAGGTGGGCACAGAAAGATGAACTTGCACACTCATTCATGTAAGCACAAAAATGTACACATGCATCTATCACGTAGCACACACTCGTTCCTACGCACATGCCCTTCGGCACATGCTCACACACCTGCACACAGCACATGCACAACCACCTAAGTATACAGCACGTGTGCAACATACCTATATGCATACACACGAAGAGATGTGCGTGTGCACCCCATACGCATGTTCACATGCATAGATGACATGCATGCTTGGGCAGAGGCACGCCCATGTGGCTTGTACACAGGGCCAGCAGAGCATACAAGCGGTGCCCTCCCCGAGGTTGTCACCTAGGGCCCGCTGTGGTAGACGCCCACCTGGCATGTGCACCATCCGGCAGTGGCAGCGCTGTAACACCGCCTCCTTCTCACAGCGCAGGCGGCAGGCAGACACGCTGTAGGCCGAATATCCCTGCAGCTTCGGCTCCCAGAGCTCACTCTCTGCCCGGCAGTTGCCCCAGGGCTGGGGCAGGTAGGTCAGCTGCAGGGGCAGGGAAGGATGGGGTCGCAGGGCTCTCTGCCGCCCACAGCCCCAGCAGGGGCTTCTGCAGGGTGGCTCGGGTGGCCCCCACCCAGAGCAGAGTGCGGGGCTGCCTACCCGCTGCTCCTGGCAGGACACGAAGGTCTGGAAGCCAGGGGACACGCCGAAGCCCAGCTGATGGATGTAGGGCGGCTCCTCCTGACTGTGGATCTGCACCCGGATGCCGGCCTCGAACGAAGTTTCATCTGCACAGGGGAGATGGGGACCCCCATGGAATTCTCCCCAGGCCAGCTGAACCCCAGCTCAGCCCATTCCCTTGCCCGTCCGCCTACTTGTCTCCTTCCAGATGGGCAGGTACTCTTCCTGCTGAATGTCCAGCATAAGCTCCAGGCCACTGCCCATGCCCCCCGCCCGGCTGGGCAGTGGGCGCTGCAAGTCCGCATTAAAGGTGTAGCACTTCCCATAGCGAGTGTAGACCTAGGGGAAGAGGGAGAGGTGGAGGGAGCGGCTAAGGATGCCCCTGGGCTCCCTGTCCCCCTGTGGGCTCCCAGAAGCCTCCACCAGACCCACCTGGACACCCCCAGCCTCTTCCTTTTTCACTAGAAGTGGCATTCTCCTGTGTGTGTGTGTGTGTGTGTGTGTGTGTGTGTGTGTGTGTGTTTGTGTGTGCGCGCACATGCATGTGCACAGCATGAGCCAATGCTTGACTCACAGTGGCCCTATAGACTGAAGTCAAGCTTCTCCCACAGGGCTCCCAAGACTGTCATTTTAACAGAGATGGCCACCGCTTTCTCCCATAGAGCGGCTGATGGATTTGAACTGCTGCCCTTTCAGTGCGCAGTCAAGCACTTAACCACAGCACTACCAGGCTTTCTTCATCCTCCTTTGGAGGATTGCGAGATAGCTCCAACTTATATCAATAACAGAACTCTTGATTACTCCTCCCCCCCCTGAATCCTGTCCCTCACCAATATCTTCCTTCTGAGTAAAGGCCCCATCATCTATTCAGTTTTGTAAGCCAGAATCCCTGGAATTCCCTCTTCCTTTTGCCCATACCCAAAACAACAGCGATCTGTGGAGATTCTGTTCCTGAGATCTGTCTAAGTTCCATCCCCTTCGCTCTGTCTCCAGGGGCCTTATCATCTCCGCCTGGACCTGGTCGGTGGCCTCCCTTCTCCCATTCTGGTCCCTCCCTCACAGCCAATTCTCCTTTTAAACCGTTACCACCACCACCAGGTAGCGAGAGTTAGTCCTGACGACGACGGGTGTCAGACTACAGCTGTACGCTGTAGCATTTTCAAGGTTTCAACCTTTTGGCAGTAGATCACCAAGCCTGTCTCCTGAGGGGCTGCTGGGTGGACTTGAACCTCCAACCTTTCTGTCAGTTGCTGACCTGTTTTCACTACCCTGGGACTTTCCTTAAAGCCCTCCAGTCATTCCCATCACTCCCCTGCTTACCACCTGACAACAGCTTCTGCTTTCCCTTAGAACAAAGGCCTAGAAGTCTCCACGTGAAGTGACCCTGTCCTCCCTCATTCACAGAGAGCTGGGGACACCTCACCTGGTCCCATGTCCAACCAACGGAAGCAACCCCCTGCCACCGAATCAATTCCGACTCACGGTCACTCCATAGGACAGAGTAGAACTGCTCCTGTGGGTTTCTGAGACTAACTCTTTCCGGGAACAGAGAGCCTCATCTGTCCCCCAGGGAGCGCCTGGTGGGTTTGAACCACCAACCTGGTGGCTAGCATCTCAACATTTAGCTCACTGCACCAAGTCCTTTCTTAAAGGGGCCCTTTGTGAACATGCCGGGCTGCTCAGGGGAGGTCTGGGCGTTGAGTCCACCTAGAGCAGTGGTTCTCAACCTCCCTTTCATACAGCTTCTCGTGGGGTGCTCACCCTCCAACCATACAATTATTTTCGTTGCTAATTCATAACTGTCATTTTGCGACTGTTCATGAAGCGAGTGACCCCTGTGAAAGGGTCGTTTGACCCCCAAAGGGCTTGCAACCCACAGGTGGGAAACCCACTGACCTAGAGGTTTCGTGGAAGCCTGGCGATCTACTTCTCAAAAACCAGCTATTGAAATCCCTGTAGGAACTAGGACACAATGAATCAGAATGTTGACACATTGTGTTTGTTGGTGTGTCGGGAGGGTGGGGGATATCTAATGTCACTGAAAGACTTGTGTAGAAATTGTCAAATGGGGATCTAATTTTCCGGGTAAACATTTACAGAAAACTCAGTAAAATAGATATATAAATTTGGTGCCAGATTCATGTTACCCAGATACTAATTCTGATGTGATATGAGTTTTCAATGGTCACTAAGCACAGGAAGTGGGGGAGTCGTTTTTAAAAGAAAGAGGAGAAGAAGAAAGACAAAAACCCGGGGGGGCGGGGGGCTGAGTCCGAATTCTGTTTTAAAAGACGCAGCTGCAATGATAAATGAAACCCCTTAGCTCTCCTTTCCGTTTGCAGAGTTCTCTCCGATGGACACCAGATGGCGCCGGCGCACCAGAGATGGAGCAGAGGCGTCTAGCCCGAGAGCCGCGCAGCAGCGGTGGTGGGAGGTTGAGGATGGGAACAAGGCTAGTTCCCAGGCTCCCTGCACAGAGGTGGCTCCCCCCACCCACCCACTCCCGGGTCAAACCCATTGGAGCCAGCACCTTCCCTGGGGTCTGGGGGCCGCGCACTCAATCACTCTCCCTCCCTCCTCCTCCCCTCTCCTTGGGAACATTTTCACCCTGGAAAAGGCTGGAGATGTGGGGTGGGGTGATGGATGGGGCAGTATGGATGGGGAAAGACGCCTGGCCGACACCTGGGAGAGGGATGAGCTGAGGACAATGGTGGTGAGAGGTCTGTTGTAGGGCAGGCTCAGGTTCCCCATCCCCTGCTGCGTTACAGCCCCCACCAATCTTCCCCCACCCATACATACAGGTTTTCCATCACCTGAGCCCGCTGCTCAGCCTCCTGAGACAAAAGCACATGCAGAAACGGCCCTTGGGGTTCACAGAAAGGTGGCTTTGCCACCGGCTACTCCATTTCATCCACCCAACGACTCCTTTGGCGGGCATCCCGGCTCTTACTCATGTGGAGCAGTGAAGTGAC